GTGTGTGTGTGCGTGTGTGGACGTGAGGGGGCGGGGGTGGGTATTAATTTTTCTTTTATGGATGAATACCTGACTGATAATGCCGACGATATCTACCTTAAATCATGTCCACCTTTTTTCTTCTACTGGGTGCACATTTCGTTTGTTTTATTTGACTGTTATCCAGGCAACCACAGATCGAACAACAGAGGGAAAGTTATGAAATTGAAGAGTAGTCTCTGGCTCTCCTCCCACTTAACATTGTCCTATCAGCGATGGACGCTAGCTATAAGGAGGGACCAGTCTCTTAAATAACCGCACTGTGTTAACATGGATGGTAAAGCCATGCAAACTTTATCATAGTGTATGTTACAAAAGCTGCCTCACATATCAGCGTGTCTTGTCTCTGACATTTATTGTCTGGGGCGTTTTTGCCTATTTCGCAGGAATTTTATAACGTATAATTAAAGGCAACCAAATTAACTTAGCCTTTCCAAATTACAAAAACAAAACAGAGACAAAAACTAAAACTAAAACAAACAAATAAAACAAATCATAAGAAAACAAAAAGAAAGAAAGAATTAATGGAAATGGAACACCCTCGTGTCGGCCCTCCTCTATCTCCCCCCCCCCAACCTCGTCACCCCCTCCCCTGGTCCATATCAAGGATATAAATAGAATGACTGGCACTAAGCATTGACATTTTATGTTCGAAATTTGAAGAAGGTGATAAGAGGGTAGATTCTAGGCGCTGTGACATTAGATTTCATAAGGAGCTATCGCTAATACGTAGAGATAAATAAGAAACCTTCCTGTGGATAAGGTCGGTATTTCAATAAGTGCGGTTTATACGTTCAGACGTAGTTTAATATGAATAATATTAGAATACTATAATGTCATCCTCTTATATGGTCAGAATACTCGCTGCGAGGTCCAATTTTGCCTTGGTAGAAAAGGAAGTTTGACTCCTTTTCACCTTTTGATTCTTTTTTAAAATTTAAAGTCTTTTGACACCGGCAGTTCAAGACTCAAATTTCATGCATGTATGCGCTACAAATAATATGACGAGGGTGTTGTTCAGGTTGCGGTTTATTTTTGTTTAATGTTTTAATTATTTCAGTTGTGTTTTTTGAGGGGGGGGGATACGCACAAATATAAGGTATCATCATCATCATCATCATCATCATCATCATCATCATCATCATCATCATCACCATCATCATCACCATCACCATCACCATCATCATCATCATCATCATCATCATCATCATCATCATCATCACCATCACCATCACCATCACCATCACCATCATCATCATCATCGTCATCATCATCATCATCATCATCATCATCATCATCGTTTAAAAAGCTGAATATGTAGGGAGAGTCTTTTGTCCTTCACGTAGGCCTTCAATGTAGAAATCGTTTGAAAGTGGATTACTTTCGGAACATGACATTTTAACAGTGTTTAACAGTGTATTGTTTAGATTTTACTTTCAAGAATGTCGTACGAATCCCCCTTCTCCCCCCTCCCCCCACCTCGACCCCCACCCTTAAGTAGAAGGAAAAGTGTTATTTTCTGTTAATCTTTCACTTGTATATTCATATATAAAAGGGAAAGAGAGATAAAGAGAGAGAGAGAGAGAGAGAGAGAGAGAGAGAGAGAGAGAGAGAGAGAGAGTAACAGGATTATAAAAAAAATCATACTCAAACACTTTTGTTTAAATACTTCAATCCTAGGATCTGTTTATGTGTATATATTCATTGAGTGGAGTGAGACTGCAGTAAGTTACTGCTGCCACCGTCAATGCTGTCATTACCACAACTGCTGGCGTCACCTCAGCGTAAACAAGCAGATTCTTATTTCTACATCTTCTCATAATATAGTAGTTCAAGTCACTAGCAGTAGTAATATTCCCATGGCACTTACTTCGAGCTGCCCCAGGCTAAACGCAGTCACGTTTGATCGTCTCAAAATCCTTAGCGTTATGGAATCAACAATCAAAACACAGAGAGCTAAATCCATTAAGAAGTGCACTGATCCTGCACAAGAACGGTACACCGTTCCTGTATAATCACACCTGTACGGGATAATAATGGGCCCAAAGACAGGGGGCTTTTCAGGGAGGGATCGACTGGGCTGGGTCAACGCTCGACTCGCACGCACAATCAGAGGTTGGAATGAAGGGATCCGGGTAATGAATTAAAGAGACCGCTTATCCGGTAAAGTTATGAAAAGGAAGAGCAGATGCTGGTTTACGAGAACATAATAAGAAGAATGTCATATATTATATCGTCACCCCAGAACTATTTTGTCCAAAATGTACTTAATTAAAGGGGCAACGATATCTATTTCTCTCATCCGTTACCTAGAATGGTTTTGGCTTTTTTTCCAGTTGAGAGAAATGATTCCCCAGTACACGTTATTAATCCCTCTCTCGCTCATTGTGTGCCTCTTTCTCCCCCTTCTGTCTATCTCTCTGTCTCTCTGTCTCTGTCTCTGTCTCTCTGTCTCTCTGTCTCTCTGTCTCTCTGTCTCTCTGTCTCCCTCTGTCTCTGTCTCTGTCTCTCTCTGTCTCTGTCTTTGTCTCTCTCTCTCTCTCTCTCTCTCTCTCTCTCTCTCTCTCTCTCTCTCTCTCTCTGTGTGTGTGTTAGTGAATGCTTGCGTGTGCGAGTGTGTGTGTTGGTGAGATGTGATATCCGAACTGTATGTGTATATGTGTGTGTTTGTGTGTGTGTGTGGGGGGGGGGGGGAAGGCTCCGTCCAGGCGAAAAAAATACAGCACATGGAACCTAAATTGGCGAGTTTTGGTGGGGATCTCGATAAATGGAAATTGGAATCCCTTTAGTGTATCCTGAGATCTAATTTCTGAGCACGAGTTTAGTGTTAAAAATATCACGTTCTTTTGGCTAATTTGTTGTCTGTGGAGCCACTTATCGAAAGCAGCGAGTGACTTTGTTAAAGTGATTGGAATTGTAAGTGAGTAGGCCCACAATCCGGTTCATCAGGGAATGGATACTTGTCCAGCAACTCAACGTACTACTACGCAGTCGGGTGTCTGGTTCTGGAGGGGACACATGGGAGTGGAGTATTGATTTTGAGTCGACCTCTCCATTCCGGACTTCAGAAATAAATTTCCTCAAGTTTGATTTATTGATCTGTGTACGCAAGGATTAATTCGAAGATTTACAACTATTTATATCTGTAACAAGAGAGGCTGGGTGACGAGCCCATTGGGAGTAAAAGGTCTGGCATATTTTTTAAAAGAAAAATTCTCACACATAGAAATAATTTGAGGTCATACTATTGTATTTTTAACGCTCTCAACATTTAAACACCCTCGGCTAAAAGCAAATAAATTAGAACAATCAAACAAACAAACAAACGAACCGAACAAATCAATATTCAAATATAACACACCCTTATCGACACAATTTAGATCAATGCTCGCTAACAAGGACGATATCACCCACTGGTAGGCCATTTGGTAAATTTGGTCGGCGGTAGGAGTTCATCCTGGTAGTAACAGGTATCATATTTTTACTGTCTCACTAGGAAATATATTGCTACCATGGAATTAAAACGTTCTATCTGATCAGTCCCTAGTTTTGAGAAAACTGACGTTAAATTTTTTTAGTTTTACAACATGCTAATTTTTTTTCGATTGCATTTCTTTGAATATCTTTATTACGAGTTTGAAAAATCTTACAATTTTGATAGAGCAAAAATTTGGTTTTTGACCTCGTGGTCTCAGTAACTCAAAACGGCCAAAAATGCCAGAAAGTACTTTGTAATTCTAAGGTAGCGGCATGTAAGAGAGCGTACGTAAATTGTAGCCTCTTAAATCTGTCAAAGTGGGCGCTTTGCTATAAGAAAAAGGCTGACAAACACTGGGCTGGATTACATTAGAGATAATCTGCTTTGGCCTGTCTGTAATGGTCAATGTGGACTGGGTGAGACAGAGCATCTCAGCAGCACGACTGAGTCCCCGTTCTCGATTTAAAAAAATATAGAATTCCCTATGCGGGGGAAAAACTTATTTATTTTGCGTGCGTAGAAAAAGAGCCCAGTCATTAAACATAGAAATTGGTACATTGAAGGTTTCAAGCTTCTTTTAAAAAAAATAAAAGGTGGAAATGAAAGGTCAATAGGGTACCATAGTATTGTTCATTATTATTGAACCATTATGTATGTTGTCCTTTCATTAACTCTTGGTAATGGTGAGCCAGTTCAGCTGGTGCACTGCATAGTTCTCTTGTTTACAATCATCACAGAAAGGTACAAAACCCCAGAAAGTCTTTCTGTTCTGTAACAAAGGTGCATGTTTATTGTAGGGATTAGTCATAATTACATAAGTGATCTATATCGTGTAGAAGGAGAAGTAGAATCGGTTATCATTACAAAAAAAGACATGCATTGTTAGGTTTCTGTACTTATCTTAGACGTTTGTTGATTTCAGCAAAATCTGATACGACATCCTAATGAACAAACAATCCCGCTTGCAGCTGTTTGTGTGCTCAGAACTGCTCCTTTATTAGTCATTCGTTATCGTAAAGGGGGGTGGGGGTGGGTGGGAGAGGGCTGGTTTTAAATTGACGATTTTCGGTCAATTTATGGTATCAGGACTTTTAACGCATTATAATACTCCAATCACTTGTAAATCTAAAAAGTGCTTACTCTCTGTGTTACAACCATTATCTTTCAGATTTTCTGTCCTACAACTTTCATTGTGCCTTTTATGTAACGAAGTGTCGTTTTTTCTTAAAACTTCAATCTTTGATGTTTTCACTCATCTACTTTTTAATTTTATTTTTGATTCCAATGAAAGTTTTAGGGCTGGTTATTCATACCATGACCTAACTTTTTATCGGTGGAAAATAAAATCGATGCATTCCTAAGTGAATTACATGGATGATTATGTAATCGAATTCAAAGGCATGAAGGGGTAGGTCAGTTATCCATCTCTAACTTTTTTCATATTCAAGATATCCAGAACTCCAAAGGTACAAAATTTTGTATTGAGTGTATCTATCAAGTACCAAATTTGAAAAATTGGCTGGTAAATAAAAAAATCCTTTTTACTTTTATGGAAGCTGTTTATTTTCAATACGGCGGTCGTTACCATTGCAATCGTAGACTTAAAAAAAAAAAAAAAAAAGTTACATTTTATATATTTTCCTGTTATACCTCCCTGCTACAAGGCTTTATCTAAAAAGGCCATAGTTACAGAGATAGGTTTATAAAGCAGCCCTTAAAAGTCTCTTTCATCACTATAAGGTTATTTTAGAGGCAGGGTCTCCAAATTAAACTCCTGTCTCCGATAGGACCGCGTCAAATGAGTGGAGAGCCGAAAAAATTTCCCAAACAACTGGAGTCCACAATGCACCGTTGGAGATTCGAAACAGTTCCATTATCTCCCTAGTCCAGTATTATATGAACTGTTTCTTCTCCTCTTATGGTATGAGAACCTGTCGCTGCTCGTGAGCTTGGCCACTCACTGGAGCAACCAAGCATTTCAAAAGGAACGTTACAATGTTGATGACACGTTACATTTTCTCTATAAAGACTTGGCGGACACATGTGTCCGATCCACCGATCAGCAGCAGACCAAACGAAATGTTGCGGCACATAATTTCGGATCATCATACTCAAATTAGATACACGAATTTACATATTCTACTTCCTAGTATGCAAACTGTTCCCCGCCTCTTCAAATTTTAGACTAAAAAATTATAATTAAAAAAACCAAAACAGTTGGAAACTGAATGAATAATAACAAACTAATCCTTCTTTTTAAAATGTCCCTCAAAACAGCGTGTCTTCAACTCAAGCATTGTCGAATGACCAGAATGTGAGTCGTCAATAAATTAAGTGTGTCAGCGCATGGAATGCTTTGCTTGTGGTGCAGCAGCAAGGCGCTATGTCGTCGCACACAGACCTGAGTTCAATTCCCGTGTGGGGAGAATATTGACCGAGAAGGCGCCTCCTAAATAATCGGAATTGTGTCTATACGGGCGCATGCAACACCTGCATTTTTATTAAAAGATTTTAGCTTCCATTCCAGCTTGTGTGAAGGAATCACGTTACTATGTTAAAGAAGGAAACAAATCGCTGTGTAAGGAGCTGTAGCTCTTACTTGCTGGCTCTTTCAGAGGAGAGTCTTATTCTTCAGGTGCGTGTTTGCGAAAAACTTAATTCTAGTTTTGTGTTCTCTCACTTATCTTCAATTAGCAAACCCTGTGCCAACCGTAACACATGTATCAACCCTGATAACGTAACATGACAGAATGTAGTAGTAACCCCTCTTGTATTTACATTGTGTTTCCGTTCTTTACCCCTACCTCTGGTTAAGGTGCTCGAATACAAACAATGTTCGGTGGTCATGGCTTGTGAAACGGACGTCAGTAAGTGGTTCTGAGGCCATACCCGTAGCACTTAGACTCAGTGAGCTTCCACTTGAAAAGTCACGCGGGGCGGTGGTCTGCATATTACAAGGATCTGTTATGGCATTTTGCGTCTTGACAGCCGATCTTTTGGTACTATGAATGATCCAGCTTTGCCTGGGCGGTAGACACAGAGGGAGTAGATTGCCCAAGAACTGCTTCCTTCTCTTCAGATCTTGACTCTCTTGAATACACCACAGAAAAGTCACGTAATCAATATGTTGGAGAACAAAGTAGGTGTAAGGGTGTGTCCTTTTATTTTACAGGTGTGATAGGGGTTTTTTATGGGAGGGATTTTTGAATCTTTGAGTTTTGTTTGATGGCGGCCTAATGGCATACTCTTCAACATCATTCAACCACCAAGGGTTTTTAGCATGCGTATGCCGTTAAACCTGCTCTAAAGGCCACCTGTAAAAACGACCACTGTCCACTTAAAATATATTATAAGGACAATGTCCAAGACATGCACCTGTCTAAACCAACCACTTTTATCGTCTACCATAATAATATGCTGCCGTCTTGTACAATTTCTACTGTACTCTAAAAGTGTTCTAAAGAAAGAAAATAAATATAAAAATAAATGTATACTAAATAAACAAATAAATTAATGAATAAATGGATGAATGAATGAATATATGAATGAATGAATAAAGAAATAAA